CCTCACTGGCCTCTGCCACAATGGAGGGAACCAGAGTCAGGTGCCCTGGGCCTCCTGCTCTTTCGTGCATGCAGCTGGCGTGTGTGGGTTTCAGGCAAGGAAAGGTTTGAACACAATTCCCCAGCTCTTACAGGAGCGTTTCACAGAGTTACATAAAAGACAGGTAACATCTCCTCCTCCTTCTCTGCCCACCTTTTGTAAGGAAACCAGCAGCTAAAATGTATTTTGTGAAGGGCTTGATTTTGGCACTCTAGGTCAAGTGGTGGAAGTGCACGTTGCTAGTGTAGGATGCTCAGAGGGCTTTGGGAAAGAAATCTCCAGTTTCCATCCCCAAAATGCATTTACTGGGGAGATAAATGGGATGGTTGACTGGGTAAATTATTTTTTTCCATGAGCCTCGATGAACTTGAAGGTAAAATAATGAGGAATGTTCCCAGGCAAAACCACAGCATAAGTGACCACGAGCGGCTGCAGGGTTAGGTAACATTATCCTGTTTTCTCCTGTATATACACTCAGAAATCAGATTTCAATCTGTCATTTTAAAAACCGAAGAGTCACCAGATTTCAAAATGGCAACTATAGATACTGGAGTATCTTGATTCATAGAATTGATTTAGTGTTAATGTGAATTTATATTTTTTTCAGTACAAGATAATAAAAATACTTGTTGGCTGGTTTGCTGACTTTCGTTGACTTCTGCCTTTAAGCCTTGCTTTATTTGGAGCTCAACACAGATGATGATTTCCCATATCATCATTTGCAGGTAATATATTTTCCCATATATTTTATTTTCTGTTAAGATAATTAAGTCAAATATGCACAAGCCACAACTGTTAGCTTGTATATGCCAAGCTGCTCTTGAAGTTGTCTTTTCCTCTATCTTAGAGCTTCCTATACTGTTCCTTAAACTATCTCATCCTACATAATGCATTGAGGTCTAAGAGCTGAGATTAAATGGCAGGTATAAAACCAGGTCTAGCATCTCTGTAACTTGAACCTTGAATGACAAAAGTTTTCTGAAAGAAGGAAATACACGGTATATTCAGGGTAAACTGTGGGTTCATAGTGAAAATTAATAATACTGTGAAAGAAAATTAATAGATGGAAAGATACTAAAGTTACTCTGTTCAGATGCTTTTAGGTTAAATAATATATTCTGAAAAGTCACTTTTGTTCTATGGTAAGGTGGGAGCTATATGTTAATTTCTTTTATTCCTGGATCATTTTCTCCCTGAGGTGTCATCAGTTGAATTTTCAGTACTACATTGAAATGAATATTCATTACAGAGTTAAGCTTTTGAAAAATCTGCAGGGAAAAAGGAAAAAAAAAAACCCTAAACCCCTTTTCTTTTGCCTCTTTCTGCAGCACTGAACATGCACAGCTCCTTCAGGTTAGCAAAGCAGCTCATAGCATCCGTGTGCTCCCAGGCACTGGCTCTGAGCTCTCAGTTGACCCCACATGTATGGTGGGACCAGGGAGCCTAACGAGAGTTCAACACAGGAGTAAGAGCTTGCAGGGTTGGGGTCTGTAGGAACAATGAGAAATAAGATCCCACGCATTTTAGAGCACACTTGAGCTGGTGGCAAGAGGGGTAGCTCAGGTACTCTCTCAGGGAAGTGAAGGTGCTTGAGCTCATCATGGTAGGTCTGAACCCTTTTGGGAGGTGGAGCGGTCACAAAGCAGCTTCAGGCTTCTGTGAGCAGAACTGCAGATAAGCAGGGTAAGCCAAGTCCTCAAGCACAGAAAAAAACCCTGTGGAATATAAGGAAAGTGGTCAAAATGGCATTAAAGAGTGAGTCAAATAGTGTGGATATTGAACACCGGGGGCTGGAACTTCAGGAAATAAGAGTGAAACGTCACAGCTCTCACTGCTCAATAGTATAGTTTTAAAAATCCAATACATAAAAAGGAGGGACAAGGTGAATCCCTTGGCTGACAAGACAGGAGGAGCTTTTCACCAAACTTCTCTTTAAGGGATATGTTTTAAAAGTGATTTCAATGGCATGGAGAACAACACTGCAATAAATTGCACATGGGGTTGCAATTTACAAATAAGGGGAAACTCTTTCTCAAGAGTGGGACTGGGCTGATGCAGCCCTTCCAAAAGCTCAAGAAACTCAGCCTCTGCCTGGCCCTCAGCTCCTGCTGTTTCCACTGCAATCAGTGAAATGCTCTCAATGGGACATGACAAGTATTTGTCCAGACATAATATTGCCACAATGTTAAGAACACTTCTGATTTTTTTAATCTTAACACAGATTCTTTACATTCTGTCTCAATACTGAGATATGTAATTTTGGGCTCAGTGAGTAATAAAAAGGCTGCATTTAGTGCCACACAGTGGTAAAAAAAATAATTTCAGTGAGGATGGATATTCTGAAGCAATGCAGAACATTAGATATTAATGCTAAACTTAAAAAAGGAACCATACATTTAAAAAAATTAGGACACACCAATCAACTAGTGATAGGTATCACTGAGATTTCCTCACTTGAGGATGGTTTATACCACTAGTCAGCTAGATGTGCAATATAGGAAATTTAACTCTGGAATTTATAATCAACTTGCTCTGCAATAAGCAGAGCGCTTTGCTCATTTATAGCCTTGACAAAATAGTGAGGGATGTGACACTGGAATCTGCCAGTCCTTGCAGGTGGTGAGCTGCACAGAAGCCATTGGGCACAGCCACGCTGGAGTAGAGCTGTAAAATATCTCAAACAATATGGAGTAGTCTCTGAAAAAAAAAGGCTAATTTGAGATCCCTGGATTGGGAAGAATTTTGCACATTTTGGTGATGAGTAGTTTTCTTGCTTATGTAGTGCAGAGAAATATTACTGTTGTTAATTACACAAGTAATGGTACTTCTTCAAGTGTGATGCATTCTGTAATGTATGTGATGCAATTAATCTCCATCCATCCAGGACCTTTAGCAACCCTCTGAGTGTTGTCCAGAATGACTGTGTGCCACAAGGATTTGGGGATTAGAAGGCAGACCCCTGCTCAAAATGGTTGATTGCAAGAGCTGAGTCTGTAGCAGCACTGGAATGGGGGCAAAGCCCTGCTGTCCCTTTCAGCAGGGGACAGACACACACAGGAGGCAGACACACACATACAGGTCTCCTTTCTTGAGAAATTTCTTGCATACACAGATATTAATTTATGAACTTACACCAGTCTACTTCAAAATGACGCATAACTGATCGTTGGGCTTTTGTTGTATGCCCATGCTAAGCTGGGAATCTGTCCCCAGCAAGGTGACAGGGAGAAGCTGTGAATGTGTGCAGCGCTCACTGAGTTTCATTGCACATTAAGTATGGCCTTTGTCTGATTCAACTGTGGCCACAGGCAAACAGCACCCATTGCAGCACTGTTTGCAGCTGCACCCACAGCTGCTCCCACTCAGAGATGTCATGGATCTGATGCTTTTTGGGTGGGGGAACTCCTCTGCAGGTGTTTGTGGCAGGTACACTGCAGATGTGTACACCAGCCACACAAAGCATGAGGGGGATGGGGGACCCTGGGGTCTTACCAGAGTTGGACAACTCTGGTGGGAACAAGGGTGTTCACCAAGGGAAGCCCGGCCTGTGTATCATGGATGCTTGATCTCTCCCAACAGCAAGAGCAGAGCCTTTCCCAAAGCAGCCAGCAATCACATCATGTGTTGGGACACTGTGCCCTTGGTATTAGGAATAAAGCTTTAAGTGGTGTTTAGTTGGTAGAGCCAAACTGAGGAACCAGAGTAAGCTAGGTGAAATGGCACCTGTAGTGATTAAAACAGGCTGAAATAAGTTAATAAGCCCAAATTTTTCCCAGCTATAAACATATGTATGTTTATATAGGGTTATGAAAGGGTCAAACCTCTGGCTTACCTTCAGATTCAGGAAGCACAGTGAAACTGAGCTCTTGTTCCAGGCATGCAATTTTGTCAGTCAGCACATTGTACCAGGCTCCAGCAGGAAGAGGAAAATGTTTTTGCAGTTAAAGCAGTGCTTTACACTTACAAAACTGTTCTTCCTGCCTTTGCTGTACTGCATGATCTCACAGGGCCTCCAGCCAGAGCTGGTTATAGCTCTACCTGCACAGCATGTGCAGTAAGACAGGCAAAGACTTGGCTTTTGGTATAGGATAGGAATAGCACCAAACAGGAGATGAAGACACTAAGTTTGATGTTTTTGCAGTTTGCAGTGGGATGCTCACCTGCTTCAAACTATAGATTGAGTCAGTCTTGTTCCAGCTGATGCCTGTTGCCTGCTCCTCTGAAAGCAAACTCTTACAGTTCTCCACACAGACATTTTTCAGGTAAAGAAGCGATAATTGCTGACATTAGTCTTGCTTCAGGCAAAAACAATATGGCACACTATTTGGGAGGATATTTAAATTTATTTAAAATAAAATGGTTGTAGTGTACAACCCTACCTATATTGCCAATACTAAAGTAATGTCAATATATTGGTATAAAAATCTTATGGCGTCATAGGAAGTAACTATATGAGCTGGGTGAGATGGTTCACCAGCACACAAAACTGCACAGAATCCTTTGTGCTGAAAAAAAAAAAAAGGTGTTTGGGTTCGTTTTGTTGTTTGAACCGAGAAGGAGCCTACGAGGCAGCCGTGGAACCACCACGCAGCTGAGGGTACCAAACAGGCCTGAGGCAGCACCAGTGAGACCCATTCTGTACAGCTGTGGTGGCACAGGCGTGGATTTGGGCTGCAGTCTGTCAGTGGAAGCCTGGTGGCTGCATTCCGGAGATGCTGATGTATAAAAGCAGCCTCCAGCTAATCCAAGGCTCCAGCAGCCTTCACCCTTGTGCAGCCTCTGCACTGGGATGAATACTGAGCCTTTTGGCTAAGAATAGAATTTTAAAAAGCAGAGAAAGTGAGTTAGTGGGAGCCATGTGAGTTAGTGGGAGCCACTAAACCCAAGCTGTTCCACAAATGAGGAGGAATTAACATTCAGGACAGGGAAGTAAGCACAGTAGAGTTTATTTTTACAGCCTAGCATGCTTGCAAACTTCATGGCAGTACATGGAAGGAGTGAAGGGATCCATACCACTAGCATATGGAGCACAGGCAAAGACAGCTTCTGTGAGCAGTTTGACAACTATTTGGCTGCATTCTGCTCGAAATATTTATGACAGCAGCAAGTCAGAGCTGCCACAAAGAGGACAAATTCTTTGAAGTCCACTTGGGAATCTCCATTTTCATCCAAGTTCTTGAAGACTCTATCAATAGCATCCTTGTCCTTCCCTGACTGCAAAAGAAAAGAGCACGTTGAGGTGAGAGGAGGCACAACCCTAATGAAGCAGTATCTCTACCCACACCCCAAACAAGGTCCCTGGTGGGGCTCTGGGCCCTTGCTGAGCGGGGGGGCACCCATGGAGCATGAGACTGGTACCAGCTCAGAAACTTGGTACATTTGGTACCTTTCTGTTGGGCATCATGATAGAGTTGCCTGGGAGGTGGATGTGTGCTGGAGGTGTGCTGGAGGTGTAAAGGCTCCTGCCTGCAGCCCTGCCATCAGCCTGCCCAGAACATCAGGTTATCATGTTTTCTGCTAGTGAGGCCTTTTTTCCTTCTCTTTGCTTGTTTTGTGCATTATATTTCCGGGTATAGAGCCATGAGTTCCTTCACACTGTGCTTGGCTGAGGCAACTGCTCAGCACCCAGCACAGGACGTGGGACCATGTGGGACTGCTCTACCTCCACCTGCCCATCTTGGTGGGAGCTGCACATCTCCTCCTCCGGCTGCCTGAAACACACATCCTTCCCATAGGAACTCAAGGCACTGATGGCTTCAGGCCCAGATTGGGTGTTTTGGGTGACAGGAGGATCAGACATGAGTCCCACCATCTTCGGGGCACAGGTGCAGTCTCAAGTGTTCCCATCCTCTGCACGGGGAAGCACGTGCTCCCTGGGTTTGTTACACCTGAGAGCTGCAGTCATGGAGAGACATGTTTTCTACATTTAAAACCACATTCATCATGATTAAAGCTGTGTGACACAAAGCCCTGAGGACATTACCCAGATGAATTAAATGCTGTGCGTTCCCCATCCGCCCCCCTGGAGAGGCTCAGCTGGAGCTCAGGCAGTTTGTGGCTTTGTGAAATGATGCTTTCCTGGGGCAAATGTCAAATTTAAGCTTCACTGAATACCTCCACCCCAGAAAAGGTACAAACAGCCTCAAAAGTGCTTCAAATCCTGCCGCAGGAGCTGGTGGCTGGGAAGGTGCCTCCTGAAGCCAGGGGGATGCTGAGCTTCAGCTACCGCAGCAAAAAATAGCAGAATAATCTTTTTCTAAGTTTTGGGTTTTTTTGTTTTTATTTTTTATTTTGCCAAAATTTACTGAAAAAACCCACGATATTTGCTAAAGTAGCTAACAGGAGTGCTTTTCAGCCTGAGTCCTAGCAGGGGTTATCTCCAGGGATTTTCAAAAGCGCAGTTTTAAAAATAAGCAGGGGATGGCAGTACAGACCTATCTAACCTAGGAAACAACCGTGAGGACTTTGTTGAAGATAAACAAAAAATAAATCTGACATTATACTAGAAAGAAATTATATAACATTTTGGAAAATTTCTGCAAGTTTAAAATATTTACTACCTTAATTTAAATCTGAAGGCAATTCTTGGTCATGTTCTAATTAATTAAATTTCTCATTCTGTAATTTCATGTTTCACTTTAAATACAAGTGCTTTTAAAATCACTAAAAATTGAACCAGTTCTCTAGATTTGACTGATGAGTGTGTCTGGAAGTTTTTATTCCTTTTCATTTTGTAAATTAAAATGAGTTTTAATTTTATAAGTGAAATATATGAACTAGTTTTAGCCTCTGAGTTACTTCTGAAATGCACAAGTGGGAATTGTTTTTTGGAAACTCTTTATAACTTCCTTCAGTCTTGTGGTATTTCTGCCTCTGATTGATTCAAGACCTTTCCAGACAGTTGTGAGCTGTGTCAGCTATAACCAGTTCTAAGGTCAAAAGTATACAAGCATTTTAAAAACACTGTTCCCCAGAATTTCTTGCAAATAAAAAATATGGATATAAATTTCAGGAAAATGCAGATAAAAGTTTTTTTTTCTGAAGTCAGACTTATGATTTATGTTTTTTTGTTGCAGTTACCTGTCTGGCAGGACAGCAGGACATTGTTGGTTTAAATTTATTTGAAGTACGGGCATAAAAGTGCTTTTTTTTTCTAGAATAGGTAAAGCAGGAAAGGAAGATGGAGACTAGAACATAAGAGGACCTCTAGCTAATTATCTTCCTTGAGAATTCCAGTTTTTCCAGCAGTTGCAGGAAATAAATAGAGCCAGTAAAAGCATCTGTAGGCTGGAAAAAGTGGTGCCTGGCCAGTAAACACAGTCAGGAGAGACCTTTGAGCATTGCTCCATTTGGTAGGTATCTAGTGCAGTGGCTTCCCAGCTTTATTTAGACCAAGTATTGAGTGTCTGGGGGATTTCCATGCCCTCTTAGAACTGTGGTTTTGTTGTTGGTTTTGTTTCTCTTTACCCAGTAGTGCTATAGGTAACACACAGCTCTGTGCTCAGGAGCTGGACACTTCTATGATGCTGTTGGGTCACAAGCACTGATCTGTTTTATACAGCTTTTTCAGAACATTTTAATCTATTTCCCCTGAGCCACCCAGGTCCTTATTCTGAATATTGCACCTCTGTTTTGTTTGTGAGATATAAATCCAGCAGGCATGGATTTCATGCAGTGAATTCATATAGCTTGCATGGAAAGACACTAAATTATGCCAAGCACCCTGGCTGCAGTGCCCTGAAATAGTTATTAAAAACCTGAATTATTCTGGATATAAAAAGTGGGAGCCACACATGGACCACTTGGTTCTAGACTTCTGTCATTAAGAACAATAAATGTACAGACAGAGAAACATTACTCTGATGTGGAAAGAACAAGACCATTAAAAGTATGTTCTGGATTTTTAGTGAAGGGAAGCAAATACAAAACAATTAAAAATGGAAAGCATTTTGTCTCCCTGGCAGCTAAAACTTTTACTATAACATATTAAGTATCTTGAATACCTCCTTAAATGCACCTGATCATTACATACAAATCTATGTTGTAAAATATATTTTCAGGTCTTTCTTTTGCTGTTAAAGACAAATGCCAAACACTCTGCTCTGAGTTCATCTGTTGTTCTGGTTTATGCATCATTTTGGTGAGCATACTCTGTATGTAGTATAAATACCTGGAGAAGGTAAGTCTATAAATATTTAGAGAGATTCCCCACCTGTAATCAAGATCTTCAACTGCTGACAACACAACCACCTTCACAGCAGTTGTGACATGATGTGAGCTGATAAATCCAGAACCACAGAAGTAGTAGGTGAATTCTGAAGTTAAAATTCAATCTATTTCAAAGCCATTGTCCTGATAGCTCAAGTGATGAATTTAGCAAACAGAGAATGGACCTAAATATTAGAATCAGTTTTACACAGTATGTGCAAGGCATCTTTTTTATTTTACATTTTCCTACAAACCATTGCATATTTTTGGATGCAATTTCCCTGATAATGTACTGAAAATTGTGCCTGCAGGCAGCTCTTACACCTGCTACACAGAAACGATGCTGTTCTCTTACCGCAAGGAAGTTTGGGAACTCCTTTTCCAGGAGGCTCTTTAGTTCTGCTTTGCTGAGGGTTTGCCTGTTGCCATCAGTCCTTGCATAGTTGTCAAAGACAGCTATGATCATTCCCATTGCAGTTTCCAGCTGAGACATGTTGTTGCCAGAGTGCGGCTTTCTCCTAAACAGGCACAATCGGGGCTCTCTCAGAGGATGGAGACTGGTCTGAGTTTGGGGTTCTTTAAGCAACTGTCCCATCCAATGAACAGTCACACACCAGAGGGACAGTTATCCCTTGGCAAACATCCGTGTCTGAGCACCGCCTGGAGTACACACCTCAGTGCTCACAGCTATGCAAAACTCAAGTTTTATCGCCCTGGTGTGACTGGCACAACCAGTTGCTCACCAGTAGAAACCAGCCTCTCCTTCAAGATACACAGTATGACTAACAAACGAAAATCAGATTTTGTTATTGGCTGTTTGCTCAAGATTTGTTCTTTCTGATATGCCCATGGGAGCAGCAGGTTGGTAGCCCAGCTTTGGCACAGTATGTGCCGGCCTGCTCAGCAGGAGGAGGAGATCTCACCTCTCCTTCACTACCATAATTCGGGGCTCTGTGAGGGGCTGCAGACACAGATTGCCTCCTCTGCCATGCAGAGGAGCTTGTTACAGACTAGATGGCTCACCAGCACACACTTGGGATGAGATTCTCTGGATCAAAGTAGAGGTCTGCCCTGCAGACAGCTAACATAGTCCCCCTGAGCTTGCACTCAGTCTACAGTGCATATCTCAAAAAGGTCTCATGAACCAGCATCTCTCCAGGGCCAGCAAAGGGAGTTTTGCAGAACCCCTTCACAAACAACTTGCCCAGGTGGAGATAGCTGAAGCAATAAATCTGATACATGAGCAAACAACCAGTATTAAAATCCATTTTCATCTGCAGTAAAATAACCTGTTATTTAGCCTATGCAGCATCAAATTTTTGTAGTGAAAAAAAAAGGTCACTCTCAAGTGCTGTGGTCCTCTGTGACTGATGAACTTTGTGATTTGCTTGTAAATCATGGTCCCCCATCATTACACACCAAACACACTGGCCCCACATCTACTCAGACCAGAGCAGTTTGAGGGGCTGTCCTGGGAGCTGGGCAGAACCCCCACAGTGCGAGCTCAGGTGGTGGGAGCTGATCAGCTGATTAAACCTGAGTTTGGATGTCTTTGGACATACCTCTGCATGCCTGAAGATAACTTTCCACTCATGATATGCTATAGACAAGTTAGTGAAAATTGGTTTTTAATTAAGAAAAATTTTTAAAATTAACCTCTTTTCTCCCAAATGCCTATAGCCACCTGTTTCCCAGGCAAAATCTGTCCTGTAATATCAACAACATCTCAGAGCAAGACTGTGTATCACTTGTACATGGAAACCTAGAACCTTTCTGAAACAAAACCCCCATGATTTTCTGTCTTACATTTTCCAACAAGAGATTTTGCATTTTCAAAAAAATCAAAGCAGCATCTTAAGCTGTGTGCTTTATTTAAACCATTCATGAGAACTATTTGTTCCTGTGACTTCAACCTCATGACAGAGTTGCAACTGATTTGCATTACAGGGGTAAGGGTCTTAAGTAAACTTTGAAGTTTTTACATTTAAGTTCATCTTTAAACCTGTGGGGTTTCTTTAGAAGGAAGAAGGAGAGAGCAAACTTGTTAGCTATGAACATCACCTGGTGTTTGCACCAGGTGTCAAGTGCCAGAAACTTTTCTTTGTCCTTTTATGACACGTATCTGTAAAATGAATATTAAACAAGACAGTAAAGAAAAATCAATTCCTCCCTCTAAAGGAAAAACTAACAAAATAAAATGTTTACTTCACAGTTTCTCATGACTTTGAATCATGAACATCAGCATAAGTTGTAAGGGAGGAAAAGTGCCCTGAAATGCAGAGAGGGAGAACAGCTTCAGTCAGCAGGATATGTCACTATGTCCACACCTTTGCCACATAACCTGGGAGAAAAGGTGTCCTCATCCTTGACCCATTTTCCTCTGCAAACACAGGTGACTCACAAGTTTTGAGAATATGGCTGCAAAAGTGCTAAAACACAAAATAAGCCACTGGGCTTGAATTTCTACAAACTGAGAGGTCACCATGGTAGCACTGCCTGGTTGACTTTATTTTTAATGTGTCATATTTGTATTCATGCCCATGCACACACATCAGCGCTGCTCAGAGTTTTCAGTTCACACTTTCTGTATTGTTTAAATATTTTCTTATGATTTGTTATTAAAAATAGCAGCTCTGTGCACACAATACAGACTATTACAACTGTTTGCAAAGCCAAAGAATACAAATATGAGGCCCACACAGGAAAGCAGGCAGTGTTTTGATGCCAACCCATCTGTCCAGCTCCCCAGTGAGATAAAACATTTTCTGTGGGCTTGTTTAAATTTTATATTATTGTTTTAATGTAAACAATACTCATTATTTGTTTCTTTCAGGTTCCTTTCTTTGAAGAATGGTATAGGCAACAACTTGGATGAGTATTTACTAAGGGTTTATACAGAATTAGGTCTTGTTATTCCTAATTTGGACCAAAAGTTTAGATTATTTATGTGATACAAATGTGGACTGTCACACACATAATTTACAAAACCCATTCAGATATGGCATTTGGTCAGATATTCAGGCTTACATGAGATTTGTGTGATTTTGTGCTGATGTTCTCTTAGAGAATAGATTTTATCCCATGCTCTTTGCAGCAGTGACTGTTTTGGAAAAGTCTGAATAAATAGATTTATCAGCTCTACTGTAAAGAGCCATTTGTGTCACAGCCAGCTGAATAGGTGAAATGGGATAGCTGCAATTGTCAAAGAGGGACTTTTTGACAATTTCCACAAATCTGTTACATATTTGGATGGAAGAAGTACATGAAGAAGAAAACACAACCTGAAATGATAAACTCATTATTTTTCTTGTTTGTTGGCAGCAGAATGAAAACACTTTATTTTTCTCTTAGCAAGAGGGTAACATCCGAACCATAAAAAATCCCTGCATGTTCCATATTGAGAAAAAGTTATCAAAACCCTCATATTTTCCAGTGTCCTGGATAGCTTGTTGAACTTAGAGTATCAACACACTTTATTTACTTTGCACTCCTTCTGAAAACTTGCTCCAAGTCTGGTTAACGGTTTTTAAAGGTTATTTCATTTCTGCAATACACGATGAATGTATTTATGTCTAGTGAGCAAATAAGGCAATTACTACATTCCTTTGCAAAACAGTAAGAAAGATCCAACTAAACAGGTGGTGGTGAGGCACAGGCAGAAGAGGAGCTCATACAAACACAGTGTGATGTTCAGTGACACCCTGGATACGTTCTGTTAATTATAGACATACAGGTTGCCATTGTTTTATTATCATTTACTTCCCAAAATATCCTTAAAATATATTTTAAAAATTCAGTTAATAAGCTCACATACTATTTAAATGAAGTTTAAAGGCAGGTAGAATGGAGAAGACCAAGGTCAGCTAACTGGCTGTGTTACTTTCTGAGTTGAGGTAATGACACTGTGCTCTGGCAAAACTGTGCCACGGGAGACACACTTTCATCATTGCATATTGACTCTAATCAAACACATTTATTAGTGCATGAGACATAGCCATATTAGACTGTAAAATCAATGAATATTTTACAGCCAGTCAATTAATATTTGCAGTGTAAATACCTCTGTCTAGTTTTCAATCCTCGATTGAATAATTTCCTGGATGCTATTCTTTACAGGTTTTTTTATACTTCAGTTTTAAGGTTCTTGATATTAAGGCTTCTAAGACTACCTTTTTTAAAAAAATGTAATGACATAAAAAGAGGTCACACTCTAAGGTAACTGAATGTTGTCCACACAAGTGCTGTAGTCATGATTTCTAAGTGTGTGTTTCCTCATCCAGTCTCACACAAGCAGCCCGTCATTTGCTGTACTTTAACACTCACATAAAACCCCACTCAGCTGTCAGCCAACCACGTTGAGCTGTGGTGAGTATAGTAAAAAGTTGGTCTATGGCATGGTCAGAAGGAATAGGGAAAAAAAGAAAAGAAAAAGAAAAGAAAAAGAAAAAAGAGACAAAAAATGAGAAAGGATCAGGAAGAGCTGTGAGGGAGAATGGTTGTTTTGCAACCTTTAAAACAGACTGCATGAACCCTTTAAAGGAAGATCCTATTTGCTAGAGAGAGGTAAGGACATGTAAAAATGACTAAGCCAATTTCAAGGAAGCTTTCAAGAGACTTCTGTACACAGAGAGGAATATTTTGGTCATGTTAACCTGTCATAAACTAAGCAATACTCTTTTTCTTTTAGTGTAAAAAACATTTTCTCAGAGGGAAGGAATCCCTAAGAGAAAGTTGTCTTGTGTTGAGTGTCCACACAAGCAACACATCAAGAAGAAACCCTCTGCATTCCCCATTAAAAAACTTTTTTTTTCATTTTCAAATATTAATTTATGTATACATTGAGGATATGGATAGGGTTGGCCTGCTATTGCAGAACTGTGTGTGAAGTGCGCTGATATCCATGTATGCCACCAGGAAGATTTACAAGGCAATTTTATGGAGTGGAAGTTCCCCAGGCACACATATTTTTCAGAACTGGCTGCTTTTGGCTTCCAGAAAGCAGTCACAGGGTGTAGTGCAACTGCTAAGCAGTGGGGATTTTTCAGCAGGCAAACGATGACATCGTTCTGTCGCTGTTAGTGGGGCAGCAACGCTGCTCTAATGCTGGGCTCAGAAATACTGAAAGGGGGGTGGGAAATGGGAATAAGAGCATGCTTTTGTAACAGACCATTTAACTTCAGACTTCACTTACCAGAAAAAGAGAAGGCCTTCAACAAACAGAGAAATAAAAAATTATATGCAGAGATCTGGGAGAGTCCTCACCCTGGGGAGAGGAACCCAATCATGAATGGACTCCCACCTAGGAGAGAGGATGCGTGACTGTGTTGAGGAAATGTGGTCATGAATACAAATATAGGAGTTGGATTACTTTGGCCAAAATGTGGTTATATCTACCTAGATGGACTGCCTACTATGTGTATTTAATAGAGGAGCCATTGGTGTGACAGGACACCGGTTATGGTGTCTCAGAAATAACCTGCATCTGTCTGAGTTCCTCA